TATTTTTAAATTAAACCAAGACACACGTTTGCCTTATTAAGGGTTTGATTGGTTGCAACGCAGCGATTGTGGTTGCAGTTACGGGCGTTTGTGGATGCATGAGATTACGGTTTTAAGCGTTAGTAAAAATTTAAATGACTAGTTTAACGGTTAAAATTGATGTATTTACGGGATACTTATGACTGATTAACTACCAAATACAGCAGCGGTTAAATAATAAATTAACAACATTTATAATTTATATAATTACAAAAATATTAAAATCATATTTTAATAATAAATATAAAACTTTTATTGATAAAACTGTACTATTAAATTTTGAAAAAATTATCAAAAATATTTTTTTTGGAAATTTTATAATATAAATTAAAATATGATATATATATATTTTGGTATTTTAATTTAAAATTTTTATTGAATATTTTATTTTTATATTTATATAGTTTTTTGGAAAAAAAATATTTTATCCTCCTGCAATCGCCCGCAACTGCAAACACTAACTGGAAACAGCTTTTAAATTTTAGAGATTCGGAGCGATTTGGAACGGATTATAGCATTTTTATGATTGTTATAAAACGCCAACAATCGCTACCAACCGCAAAAGTTGCATTTGTGGATGATGGCGGAGAAACCAGTCAGGCCCTAATAAACCATAAAATGACAAAACCATACAAAACCATTTGATATGTGTTTGCCTACATTTTGTTCTATATCTATTACTATAAAAAAGACTTTTCTATCTTTTAACACTACCATATCACTAATAGGGTGTTTGTGGTTTTGACATGTGGATGTTTAGCAAACGTCACCGTTTTGTTTGTTCCGTTTTCTGATGTGGGCTTTCAAAATATCAGGGCCCGTTAAAAAACTGGTCCAGTCCACGGGATTAGGGTTACCACCCTCTCCCTTTGTCGCCGTCGAGAATGTTCTTCTGAAGCTATCATAGTGTCTGTTGGTTTGTTAAACAAATCGTTCTCAAGAACTATGATATCAAGCAACCGGCATTTCGTATTTGGTCCTTAACCAGACGTTACAAGTTATCTTCATTTTTTGGCTTTAACAAGTGTCTTAATTCCACAGACGCGAATCAAACACGGCGTCTCTTCAATAATACTCATCCAATTCCAACACAGATTTCTTAACCTATAAAAGGGTAAGCCTTCTATACTTGAACATCATCCTCAGATTTTGTGACCACTCAGAAAAAAAAAAATCCTTAATCATTGGCTAATTCATATGTTCTTCTTGGTGATTTGAAGGCTGGTCACTGCTCTTCCATCGCCCAGGTGAGGTTACTTCTATTCTAGGAGGCCAAACTAAAACGCGGTGGATATCTAAAACATTTGTTGGGTATCAGGTACTTTGAACATCATCTCCACCATGGTAGTGTCTTCAGCATTTACGTTTATGTTTGCGGGTCTTTAATTTATGTTTGAGTTGTGCTCTTTAGTTCTTTTTGTTTTGTTTGGGTTCAAAACACTAAGATGAAATAGTTTATATCCAAAAAAAAAGTTGTGATTAGTTATGTTGTGTCTCGGACTGTGCTATCTCTGAGATTCTAATCAGAAGACCACTTTTTAAAGAAAAAAAGTAAGTGAGAAATAGATTAAAAATGATATGCAGAATTAACTCATTCTAGATTGAAGTTTTGGATGACTTTTGTGCGTGGATTTGTCGCTGTAGATTGAAGATCTACCAAATAAAGAATTATGGGAAAAGAACCAGCTTCATTAACTAAGATGTTTAGACCACAACATCAGTATGGAGGTTGTTAATTAGAGTGAACACTTTAAGTTTCTGAAAAAAGCGGTTGATCTTTAATGTAATTTATCATCTAATCCAGAAAAATGCAGAGCTGCCTCTTCTGCTCTCATGTGAAAGGTATAGAAAGAACTCTGAACTTAAATCAAATATCGAATGATATTACCGTCATGTATATATACTTTTAGACTGATAACGTTTTGCTCTTTTATGTAGTTTTTCTATTCATTCAGTACCATAACACAAATCCTTACGCTTGGACATTACCTAATTGCCCTCATAACAAAGAAATGGATGTGAAGTACCATGAAGAACTTCAACGTAAGGTTTCAATCAATCGAGTTTTACAAAATTTGTTAATATGTATGTCTATGTGATCACGTGTGTTGAGAGATTTAAATATTTGTTTTGCAGGGGAAGAGTTAGTACAAAGAAAAGAAATAACTTGAGTATCCAAAAATACAAGAAAATCACGTTAAACAATCAAAGAGCCTAAACTCTTAATAAGTGATATCACTGAAATTACCCTAAGGAGTGAATTACTCTTTCAAATAAGAGGTTCAACTGTAGTATTTAGGGATCAAATCCACAAGGAGCTAAAGAACCTAATAGATCTAGTTAAATAATACTCTAAGCGGATGTATAAATAGTAAAGACAATAAATTAGCAAAATGAAATATTCCAATTAAGCAGGACAATTACTTAATCATAATGGAAATTAAGACTTTTAAAACTGAAATGGAAAATATGCTAGACTTATTGTTTTTATTCAGGTTTTCAGAATTATAATTATATAGGATGTATGCTATCTAATTGCTTGCGAGATACTATAGAGCATTAACTATCTTGTTGAACAAATTACTTAAACTAATGTTCAAATAAATAAGTCTAAAGACCAGATGGTCGCAATTGACAGTGTCGAGCGATTATCTATAGGAAAATTGACTGATACACTAAACTCATCATCGACCAATTTCTGTTAGAAAGATCGATCGATGACTCCGGTCAAGCAATGCACACGAGTTAACCTAAACTCACTAAAGATTTCTAAATCAAATTGTGTTAATTATATTTCTAATAAATCTTAGCTTAATAAAGATGTGTTTAGGATATTTAGAATCACTTAAATGTCTCTAACCCAACCTAAATAATCCAGGATTCAATGTTTCTAGTTAGCTACTTTAGAACCATGAGGAATTAAAACATCTTATTAATGAGTATCACAACTAGCAATCCTATAGTTGGAACTACTAACCTATTTAAACCCTAAATCTAACAAGTAAACTACTCAGACATAGCTAAGCAATTCATAACACAGATAGATAAATAAAACTGCATATTATAGATAAATAGATAGGTAGAAAACACTGGAGTTCCAATCTCAAATCTCTCTGAAGATCTTCTCTCTAAACTATAAACCCTAAAACTTTGCTGTGAAAAGAATACAATAAAACTCTCTCTTGCCTCTAACACTTTGGCAAAATATATAAACTTAGGTTAAAACTCGTTAGGGGTAAAATCGTCATTTGATGATGATTGGGCTTCAAGTTAACTTGGCTCTCAAATTGGCTTATGGGTCTTGATAATTGATCGATCATACAGGGTGCATGTCGGTCAATCCGAGTCTCTGTGTGTCGACCTCGTGATCGATTCTGAATCGAGTGCTTCTTCAAATTCTCTTCAAAATGCTCCAAAACATCATTTTCTTCCAAAATACTCATGAACTCATAAATATGCTCTTAAAAGCTTCTATAGTATAGTAAATAGTAGTAAAAACACTAATATACCATGACTAAAACAGGTAAAAAACATGGTATATCAATAAGTCACCAACCTAACAGGTATGTATTTCAGAAATCTATACTCATCGATATTTATTGTATCAAAGCTATAAACAAGAATAAACTGATGCTTCAAAACCCCGGTTCTTCATTTGTAATTTGGTTCATTGCTTTCAGAGGAAGCAAAAAAGAAGCTGAGACAGAAATCATTCTCCCAACACCACCAAAGACATCACAGTGATGACTCGAAGTGAGGAAAGAAAACGATACAGCGTCAACGCTTACTTATAATCATCATGCTGGATCTCTAAGCCATGTTAGTATAAATGAAAATAAACTGAGCTTTCTTTGAACGCAAGCTTATTTGGACTTCTCTGGCATGTCACTGTTCCCTGGCGTGCATCACATGAAGTCAAAAGAAGATATGGTGAGTCCATTAGGCTTTAACGAAAGCTCAGATGAAGCAAAATATTTAATATTTTCAACAAAACAAAATTATCTACTATTAATCACTTATTTAAATCATGTACTTTAAAACATGCTAATATTTTTTAGCCCAAAAATATTTAATATTTTCAACAAAACAAAATTATCTATTATTAATCACTTATTTAAATCATGTACTTTAAAACATGTTAGTATTTTTTATTTTAAATAACAATCACTCTATCTTGATAAATTTTAATGATAACTTTTAAATAATTTATTGTTTTATTTTTCTTAAATAATTTACAGGTTTAAACAAAAATGTAAAGCAAAACCAAAAACCAAATCTAAAAATTAAAATCCAAAACCAAGAGCTGAAAACGCAGGTTATATTTTTTGCCTTTTTATTTACAAAATAAACTATTTCAAAATTTTTAGAAAATTATTTTTTCATCTTTTCAGTTTTAAATTACATGTTCGATTAATTGAGCTTTGTTTGTTGGTAAAATCAGTTCAAACTAACTCAGCGGGTCTAAAAATTAAAAACTCAAACCAAAAGCTTAATATCAAAAATAGAAACTTAAAAACTAAAACCCAAAAACCAAAATTTAAAACAAAATCTAAAAATAAAAACTGAAACTAAAAACTAATGAAAAACAACTATCACCACAAATTTTGGTAAACTAATTTTATGCCAAAAAATTCTTTAAATTAAGACAAAACCCAATTATATAAATTTTTAATCATAAAAAATTTCCGCGCTTTTCAAGCGCGGGTCAAAATCTGGTAACTATTTAAACTGAAAGTGAAGAATTAATCAGTTATTATAATATATTTATTTTTTAAAGTATTTATATCAGTGTATGATCATGAAAAAATAACTTAGTAATTTATAATTTCATTATCAAACTGAATTACTTTATCAATGTTACATTGCGCAGCAAACTTATGATCATTATATTTATTTCATAGAAAGAGAGAACCGTTTACCATAGTCAAAGACTTACAAGGAAACAATATTTTGATATTTGATCAGAGAGAAAGAAATGGAACAGAGCAACAACAACGAGATCTAGAAGATCCATCTCCATATGGTTCACATTTTGCCATTTTATAACGCAATTCAAGACAATGAGTTACACATTCTTGTGTTGTTTCCGATCCTTTACAATCGTTTCCACATACTTTATCGGATGCCGCAGCTTGCACGAAAATCCTTGTTTCAACTATCAGTCATAAAAAGAAATTAGAGGCAGATATTTATCAAAAAAAATGGAAACAGATAAAAAATATTATAATATATAAATATTAGATATATTTTAAAAAGAAAGAGATATACCAGAGAAAAGATCATAGGAAATGGCTGCCATTGTAACAAGACTGAAAATAACCATCAATCTGAAGGAACCCATTTCAATTCTCTTTATGATACCTAACAAACCAAAATTTTATATATTTCAAACTTTTAGTTTGTTGTAGTTAACTATGAAAATGATCTATTTATAAGATCACATAAAAGAGATTGTAAGATATCACCCTTAAATGAGTCATTATAATATATTTTTTTGTTCTCTTAAGTTTTGCTCAAATAAAATTTTCAAATTTTAACAAAAATACAAATCTATTTTGTCAACAAAAAAATCTCATTTAAGTAACAATATCTAGTGATAATAAAAGATACTTTGACCCAATCCATCATTTTATTACTACAGTGATTCTTAAAATAGTGTTTTAATTATTGATTTTTATGATGCGTATATTTGTTTCCTAAATCATTTGGTAGAAAAACCCTTAAGTGGAAGAATATCTTTATTACATTTTGACTTAGCATAAAAATATAATATATAATTTTATATTCTTTATTTTTTGAAATAACGTAAAGAAACATATCTATTATTCATATCTTCTCTATTAAAAAAAAGTACCAAATTTGTCTACTATTTAGAAGTCATGTTGGACTATGTCACTAATTATTTAATATGGCATATTTAATTGTTACATTAACAAACCAATCAAATATATATTACTTTAAAAATATCTTAATAATTAATAAAGATATAACAAAATCTGTTGAAAAAAATCTAACAAGATTTTACCAAAAATTTTAAATATTTTTTTATAAAATAAATATTTTTATTTCGTTTTTAGATATAATTATAAATTAATTTTAATTAAAAATATAAAATGAAAGCTTATCCGCACTGATGTGCGGGTAAAACTCTAGTTATTAGTTACAGTAAATTAACTATTTTAAAATAATTTTAAATAAGCAATTATTAAAATATAAATAAATATCAGTAAATTTAGTAAATAAACACAAAAATAAAAAACAATTCATCTTTTGTACTTTTAAACCAAGGGACGTTACAGTTTTTTTTTTAATAAAATCTTATACACAATCATAGACAAATATTTTAAAAATGTAAAATAATTATATTTTTATGAATTTTTATTAATAAAATATGATTATAATATATAATAAAATAAATAGTAAAAGAAAATGTTACAAAAATACATTTATATTTGTAAACTAAACATTAAGATTTGAGAATTTTTTTATATTTTATTCATTTGATTTCTTATCTGCCCGCCCGTAGGGCAGGTTACCCCTAGTTATTAATAAAAGAAAACGTTTCGTCTTATTACTAAACCATATATACAATTACAAACCATTACTAAACCAAATCTTTTCCTACATAGCTATACAGTATAACCGCTTAAAATTAATACTCTATAAATTACTATATACTAAATTTTTTTAAAAAATATTATAATTTTATAGTCCCAAATTGATTTTTTGGTTCAATTAGTATATTGCTAAATTAATAATATCTATAAATTAATAAAAAAAATGATAGTTTTTGTGTAGTCCCAACATTATTAATTTATAGAAGTTTCACTATATTTACCACTTCCCCACTTTTTATTAATAAATGTGTTACTTTTCCATTATTTTTTATTGTTGCTTTCTAAATAATTTATTTTAAAATTATCTATAAAATATAATTTTAAATAATATAATTTAGTAAAACACAACAAAATACTCTGATAAAAAAGTACAATAAAATAACAATACAATCTCATAGTTGTAAAAAGAACGCTAAACAAAATGAACAAGATACACCTACATCAAAATTTAATAACCTATAAAACATAAACATAAATGTTTTTTACAACTAATAAAAATATATATTTATGCAGAACATATATCTGCACGGACGCGGGGATCAAAAGCTAGTTAATTAATTTCAAAATGACCACATAGCTCTTCTTATATTTGAATCGCTTCATATAAGTTATGGGTACTTATCCAAACTATTATCTGTCTAATGGTTGTGTAACAGACTTAATTTTTAAAGTGCAAAAGAAAGAAAATCATTTCAGATTTATACCTAGTACTCTATGTTACTTGTTTGACTCGTATGTCTTAAATGTATATGAATTTAGATTATCAACATTTTATTTTTAAAAAAGGTCATAAACATTCAAAATTGTGAATCTCAAGTAAGTATTTAAAAAATAGTTACCTGAAAATTGGGGGTTTCCATGTATGCATGGGAGTCGTATTGCTGATGCCGACGGTATTTGGTTTTGTCGGTGGTGGGAACCATTTCAATTTTCTTTTAAATAATCCTTCTAAATCTCGATTAGAATCTCAAAAAAAAAAAAAGATTAAAAAACTATTGGCGACGTTAGTAAAAGGAAAACAATTATACACTTTTCCAGACTAAAACCTAAAATTCCGGGAATGGCGATCAGAATTCAATCGTTTGCATTTTCGTATTCGTATTTACATATTAGGTATATTTACCCGTAAGTAATAAGTTCTTCTGTAATTTACATATCTCTTTAGATATTACTATTAGTGGTATCAATCAGAAAATATTTGATAGAGAACAAGATTCTATCATAATTAACAAACAACATCACTTATATATTAAAAAAATTCATTGTAATAAAAGTGTTCATACCATATGAAACTTGTCGGCTTCATAATCATTTGGTAATTAATACATTTACACACTAATTTTTAAATTCATTATTTAATATGTTTATATACTATTTTTTTAATTAATTCATTTTTTTCTATATTTTTAGCCATTGTATTAATAAATTAAAACTTTCTACGTGAAACTAATGAATAATATCTTTATTGTAAAAAAATACAAAATCATTAAGATTCGCATCAACTAAAATATTGGAATGAAAATGTTTGTAGAAATTGAAAGTTTCGTACCTTGCCGAAGTTGGTCATGGTTGAGACTTCGATACACAATAACGATAAATAAGATGATTGATTATGAATTAAAGAAACTGAGGTGAAAACACCACACGTAAAATCGGATCTTTAGTTTCAAATATTAACATTTTATAAGGTTTTTATATCAGACCAAGAATTAGAAACGAAATCAAATTAGTAGAAAAAATCAGAAATCAGAAAAGCTTTAAAAAGAAATAAAAATCACCAAATCGATTAAAAAACAGAATTCATGTACCAAGTGAAGATGTCACTTTGTAATATATATTATTTCTATTGTTTACTGTATATTCATATATTTATCATCACATTTATATACTTTTAAATATACATATATGTACACATTGACATGAACGACTATATAACTAAATATTTAACACAAGTGAAAATTTTAATTCTTATTGAAGTTGATTTTTTTTTAAATGTTTTCTTTCACTATCGCTCAAATTGTAGTGAATGTTTTGTGTTAATAATTTTTTTTTGAAATATTATTTAGATTTGATTTAACATATCTTTAGAAATTATAATAGGAAAGTATTAATTCGACATCAAAAATATCTAAAATTTATATAAAACGAAAGCAAACAAATAACAATAGTTTTTGGTCATCACCGAAAAAATAAAAAGCATCAAACTTTAAACCAAAGAAACCAAAATAAATATAGATTTAGAATGATAGTTATATTTTAGGACATTAAAAAACAACATAAAACTGAACCAATATTCATGCTAAACATACATAATATCATTTTTATCTTAAAAGTAACAAAAGTAATAATTTCATTCTACGCAAGGCACGGGTTATTACATAGTGTAAATATTATTTTGTTCTTTGTTTGATCAACATTCAATAATTATATTAACAATAACAGTGAAATTATGTGAAAAAAAAATTAAAAAGAATGAAAGTGAAAGGAAAGACCGAGAGTGAAAGTGAAAGGAAAGGAAAGACCGAGAGTGAAAGGAAAATATGGGAAAAAAACAAAAGAGAATGAGAAAAAAAAATGTATGGTAAGATAATAAAATGTATGGTAAAATTTGATAAAGCAATAATAACGTTAGCTTCTCAACAATCTCTCATCTCTTTCTCTCTCTCTCTCCCATTTTGGACTGAAAATCTGAAGAGAGAGAGAACCTGACTAGCTCTCGGAAAATCCTCTACTCCGGAAGTTGAGGAGACCATTCGAATCGTAAATTCGAAAATCGTGCTCAGAGTCCAGAAATAGAGGAGGACTACACAAACCAAAGAATCTAGGGTAATCATCACACGTTCGTCTAAGTCTCTCAAATCTCAATCAATTACATATCTGAGTTTTGTTTTGTCTTTTTGATGGATTTCCACTGATTTCTGATTTAGTTCGACAACTTTTTGGTAAGAAACAGATCTTAAAATTTCTCAAGTTTGCTCTGTGTTTCTTCTTTGTGTTTTCGTAAAAGCAAAACACAGTTCAATCTACTGTAAACTAATCTGCTCATTGTTTTGTTTGTTTGTGTACTAATATGAAAATTGTTCGGTCTTTAGGTTTCGTATTTGGATTATAAAAAAAAAACGCAGATTCATATCAGTTTCGATTTGTGTGTGTGAGTGCTGTATAATCCTAGATTAATGGTTAATTTGTTTGTTTTCGTCTTGTGTTATTATTGCTTTATCAAATTTTTTTTTTTTGTGTGTAAGATTAAAGATAAAAGACTTTCCGTGTCTCCCAAGTAATGATTAATGCCGAATTCTCTTTCTCCTGGCCCTTCGTCCTTCCCTTTGTGCTTTTTAAGCTGTCTGCAATCTATTTTTCTCTTGTGCAGATTTGTTATCAGATTTAAATGCGAAAGTGAAGCTATTTTAACGTTATCCCTGATATAGAATACATTCATGTGTATGCATTTATTATTTGTTATCCATCCTATTGTTTATTGAGTTTGTTAGAAAATGGTGAGAGCATGTTCTGGCGGTCGAATCTGGGGTGAATGGGTCCCAAATAGCATGTGATAAACATTAAAGAAACACTCTTTAAATGTCGGCAATGTTATTTTGTTAACTTCAGATCTCGATTCTTTGTCCTTTTGTTTTTCTTCAACTCTCAAGTCTCTCATTTGTCAAAGAGTGACTGGCCCCATCATTTGTTTATTCAAGATTCAACACAAACAAAAATTATCTTTCATAACTGGCAGTTTTGATGCTGTTCTTGTCTTGATCCAATCTGTTGTTTGATCTTTCTCTTGAGTTGCTGTTCTGTTTGTTCTAAGTACTTTTCGTTCTTGGTTTTGGCTCCTATAAAGGAAACCATTTCTGAGCAAAAGGTTTTGTACACTGCAGGTATACTATTTATATATATTTAATTTAGCCCTAAGACGATGAAGTATAAGGATGACAAGTACGAGAAAGCTGAGAGAGGTTCAACAAAGATCTTGCCCAAGACAGTTTTACTGATTCTCCTATGTGGGCTTTCATTCTATCTTGGTGGACTTTTTTGTGGGAACAACAAATTCCAAGTTAATGATGTCGCAAAATCTGGAGCTTCCTTAGATGTTGATAACTCTCCTCAAGCCAACTCTGTTTCTTTCCCGGAGTGTAGCAGTGACTACCAAGATTACACTCCCTGCACCGATCCAAGGGTACACTCAGTTTTTCTGTTGTCTTCAGTCTCTTGTGCTTGAATCTGGGAAGGCTTAAGCTAATGTTTTGATATTCGTTTTGGTGGCAGAAATGGAAGAAGTATGGTACTCACAGGCTTACATTCATGGAACGTCATTGTCCTCCTGTGTTTGACAGAAAGCAATGTCTGGTCCCTCCTCCTAATGGGTATAAGTCACCTATAAGATGGCCTAAGAGCAAAAACGAATGTTGGTACAGGTGAATATTGCTTCTCTAGATCTCTCCTGTCCTCAGATATTTGAAGTTAAAATGACAATTTGTTGTTATTTAATGTTTAGGAATGTGCCATATGATTGGATCAACAAGCAGAAATCTAACCAGCATTGGCTAAAGAAAGAGGGTGAAAAGTTCATTTTCCCTGGCGGAGGTACAATGTTTCCAAATGGAGTTAGTGCTTATGTCGATTTGATGCAAGATTTGATCCCTGAGATGAAAGATGGCACTATACGCACTGCCATTGACACTGGTTGTGGGGTGAGCTTCTTGAATTTAAACAATATTAGAGGTTTCTTTCTTTAATTTCTAATATTTTGCTCTCTGTTTTTTTTTAAGGTTGCAAGCTGGGGAGGAGACTTGTTGGACCGTGGTATCCTCACGGTGTCACTGGCCCCAAGAGATAACCACGAAGCTCAAGTCCAGTTTGCTCTAGAACGTGGAATTCCAGCTATTCTTGGAATCATATCAACTCAACGTCTCCCTTTCCCTTCAAACTCATTCGATATGGCTCATTGCTCTAGATGCCTTATTCCATGGACAGAGTTTGGTAAGTAAATGTTCTTGATCATCTCAATGCTAGCAAGGCCGGTTCTACGCATATCCGGGTCAAACATTGTCTTTGTCCCCAAATTTTTAAAAACTATTATATATAGTTACATTGTCCCTAATTGTTAAAAAAAAAAATATCTTAAGATTAACCTAAACATGTACATAAAACCTTAAATCTTAGATCATGCCTTTAATGCTAGTTTAACTGAAACTCATGTAACAATCTTTGTCACTTTCTTGTTTTTCTCAGGTGGGGTCTATCTTCTTGAGATTCACCGTATCCTAAGACCTGGTGGCTTCTGGGTCTTGTCTGGTCCACCAGTCAACTATGAGAACCGTTGGAAAGGTTGGGACACAACAGTTGAAGAGCAGAGATCAAACTACGAGAAGCTGCAAGATCTTTTATCCTCAATGTGTTTCAAACTGTATGCCAAGAAAGACGATATAGCAGTGTGGCAAAAGTCTCCAGACAATACGTGTTACAACAAATTGTCTAACGACCCTGATGCATACCCGCCCAAATGTGACGACAGCCTCGAGGCGGACTCTGCTTGGTACACGCCGTTAAGACCTTGTGTTGTGGTTCCAAGTCCTAAGCTTAAGAAGACAGATTTGGAATCTACTCCTAAATGGCCAGAGAGATTGCACTCAACTCCTGAGAGAGTCTCTGATGTTCCCGGAGGAAACGGTGGCTTGTTTAAGAGGGATAGTAGCAAGTGGAAGACTAGGGCTAAGCATTATAAGAAACTGTTGCCTGCTATTGGGTCTGATAAGATAAGGAATGTGATGGATATGAACACTGGTTATGGTGGTTTAGCTTCTGCTTTGGTTGATGATCCTTTGTGGGTCATGAACGTTGTCTCTTCATATGCAGCTAATACACTTCCTGTTGTGTTTGATCGTGGATTGATTGGAACGTATCATGACTGGTAAAATAAACTAAACCTGATCTTCTGTCATCACTTTTGAATTCACATGTGTAATGTTCTCTGATGTTTTATAGGTGTGAAGCTTTTTCGACCTATCCAAGAACCTATGATCTTCTTCATGTTGATGGTCTTTTTACATCAGAGAGCCAAAGGTAATCACAGAGAAGAGATCTCAAAGCTTTTGAAACTCATTTTTGATGCTCTATAAGTACTAAGTAATGGTTTGGTATTACGCAGGTGTGAGATGAAATATGTTATGCTGGAAATGGATCGGATCTTGCGTCCTAATGGGTATGCCATTATACGCGAATCGAGCTATTTTGCGGATACTATTGCATCGGTTGCTAAAGGGCTGAGATGGAGTTGCCGTAAGGAACAAACAGAGTCTGAATCAGAGAATGAGAAGCTATTGATTTGCCAGAAGAAGCTGTGGTATTCATCTGAAACAAAATAGTTAAATAGAACAGAGGCACAAATCCAAAGCTTAAGCTTAAAGCTTTTGTTTTGTCCGGAGGTTTCTTGAGAACAAAGTCATTACAACAAGCATTACGTTGTCTTGCTTCAAAGCCAAGAAAGCTGCTTAAAGCTAGCTACCAATTCATTTTTATTATCCCAGCCTATTTATTAACTTTTATTTTTTTCTTATATTATATGCTCGGTGAGAAATATATTATCGATTTTTGTTTACATTGTAAGTTTAATTTTTATTTTAAATGGACAAGGTCGAGATTTCCTCAATGTTAGGTATATTGATTTGAGATCTAGTTGTATTGTTTTACACGTTAAGACGTTGGTGGTCCACTAATTCATTATAAACATTTGTCCTCCTTTGATTTGGTGTACACTTCTAGTCCATTAATACTTTACAAATTTGTGTAACAGTTTGGTTCAGCTGATGCATTTGATAGTCAACTATTTATAAGTACTAGTAACACAAACCCGCGCAAACACGGGGCTGGGAACATATTTTATGCTTTTATGTTGTTATCGTTAATATTTGTTTTTGTTGTTGTTAATGGTTAGTATTATGTTGTTTGTCCATCTTATCTATAATGATGTGCAACTGAAATATTGGAAGTCACACTTCTTAATTTAGACGATATAAGAATGTTTAGCGATTTTTTTTTTGCTGTTATTTTCATATTTTATATTTATAATGATTTGATACACCATTTACTTTAATAGCAATCCCTTGAACATAGTTAACTGAACATCGACATTTGTAAGTATAGAAATGAAATAGTGGAATGAGAAAGAGATAAATTTTGATTTTCAAATAAAACAACATATATGAACAGTAATATATAATTATATTTTAACAGTTCTTGAAATTGATTCTGAAATTAAAGATTTTCAGTAGTGTTTTTTAATAGAGTAATAATTCTACAATATCATATAGCGATATAGTCAAAATGAAAAAGTAATATTGGATTCTAAATATCTGATTATGGAAAAACCGTTTAGTTTGTATTTTTTTTAGGAGTTCAAATTTATTATTTTCTAATTAATATTCTAAAAGAGTCCTAGATAGTTTTGATCTATTTTCTGAGAAAAAAAAATTTTGATTAAAATTTGATACAATTACAACAGTCAAAATAAATTGTATTTCTAAAATATATACTTTCAAAAAGAAACTAATGGTATTAGGTTTTAAAAGTTCAATCTTATTTTTGGTTGAATACATAAGAGTATAAAGAGCTTTTTAATAATAAAAATTAAATAACTATAAAAATATTTAGAGTTTATAAATAATTATTAAAATATTTAAAGTCTGTAGGACACCTCAAACACTCTAGGGCTGACGATCTAATTCCCCACGAGAAATATCGTATAGCACCGAATGACCACGGAACTATGACCCCGTTCTATTTGCCCCTAAGAAAAAAGTTTGAAACCTATTTCTCCACCAAATTAAAGTTATACTGATATTTCCCCATAGTTATAAAGATCGAAATTTAAAAACCCACAAAATCGATTTTTATTGGTTTATTGTTTGTAATCAAACCGTAAACCATGTTAAGTCAATGATTAATCAGATTAATATCCAATCAGTTGGATCTTTTCAAGTTCGAATGTTGGGTCGGATTACTGTTATGATCCATTGGTCGTTTTTTTTTATATTTTCTTGGTTTAGTTTTTCTCATTTTATTATACGAGAGTGAAGATTTGAAATTCGATTTTCAGTAATCATAACTAAACCAAATTTGATGGGGAAATAGGTTTCGAACTTTATTCTCGGGGGTAAATAGAATGAGGTCATACTTTCGTAGACATTTGGTGCTATACGATACTTCTAGCGGGGAAATAGATCGTCGACCCAACACTCTATATATAACCTCTCTATCTTCTACGTACTATCTACGGCTATTTGTTAGAGGTCAATTATAGTATTCATGTCGCACTTTTCAACCTATCGTTTATGTTTGTGCTTCCCAAATGAGATCATGTTGGTAATAAACTAAGACACTGTAAATTCAGAAAACAGTGGGAAACAAATTTCTTAACAACAACTACTCCTCACTTGAATCTGCAATTCATTTCGGAATCCAAATCACACAGACTATTCCTTACTTGGCAGAGCAAGAAGCCAAAAAATTTAGAATATCTGGCTCATTAAGCCTATCTCAACAAAACAGAAAAGAGGGAAATTACTAATGGTAAGTATTGAATCAAGTAAAACCTGTCAAAGATTCTTTAATATTCCAAAAAAAGGTGAAAAATCATCAGCAGAAAAACAATAAAGGAAAATAGCAAAGATTTGTAATGGGAAACAAAGGTAGTAGTAGTTCTTTAAAAAAAAGGGTGTTGAGGGGTTGAGAGGAATAGATATCCCAATCACCCAACGGCTGCGCTTTCGTTTCTTCTGGGAGTTTGAAATCTCCGGGGGATCAGCTGCAGGACATTCCCCCCAGTCTTGTCTCCCAGAACAGACGGTCCCAAAGACTTTTCTGTCAATCATTCGCCACCTCCAGCGTTTGGAAAAAGACTCCCACCGTGTACCTGAGTTACAGTAACGTCATGTGTAAATAATATGGTTCAATTTCTAGGAGGAACTTTATTTATATGGTTTCAGAGAGAACTTAGGACGAAAAATATGAAGATGAAAAAGAACGTAAAGCTATTTAATTTTGTTATCTTGCATATTTCCATTGTTTTATCCATTCATCCATATGCATTTTGATCATATAGATTAAGATTTAGTCATTTCTAGGTTGCATTTTGCATACATTAGTCTTAAACAGGTATTGGAGTACCCTTGGAGTTCTTGGAGGTGATTGGATGCTTTGAGGCTCAAAAGAGGAGTAAAGAGTGATCATTGCATGAGTAGAGCGAGAGCCATGTGCCAGAGCGACCCTATGACATCACTCCTAAGCCAGAACGACCCCCAAAGCGAGACATCATGGTCGCTCGGCCTTTTGCCACTTTGTTGCACGAGGAAATCCTGGAGCAACGTTTCAGAGCGACGTACCCAGGTTGCTCCAACACCAGAACGACCTCCAGAGCAACATGCCCAAGTCGCTCGGCCTTTCTATCATTTCTGGTGATGAGATTGACCCTGGAGCGACACACCGAGGTCGTTCCCAAGCCAGAGCGACTTCCTGGAGCGACAATGCAAGGTCTTTGCGCGTTAGTTACTTGGTCGAAACCTTGTATTTTCTAAGGACCTTTTGGTCATTTGTCTTGACGTTTTTACACTTTCTAAACCTAAGTTTAAGTACTTCTTGTAGCCTACCAGGCAGATTATCTTGTATCTTGAAGAGAAAAACACAAAAACCTCTTGGAAAAGTTTTATTTCATTGCATTATCTACTTATCTTTACATGATTAAGCTTGAATCCAATATGGGTCTGAGAGGAATCATGAAGATTAATGAGTAATCACCCTTTGAGTTAATGGGATAGGGAGATTAAGGGTGATTAGGCTAGAACTAGGATGTTTAATGTAGATTTCTTATTTTGTTATTTCACTCTAGTATTAGTCATAGTAATCACCCTTTGAGTTGGTTAAAAAACTTCTTATTTTGTTATTGCACTCTAGTATTAGTCATAGTTTAAAACTATTCATTATTCGATTGCACTTAGATTAAGTGAGTACTTGAATTCTCAGTGCTTTGAAATCCCTTAGAATTGGTTCGACAATCATTTATACTACAACATTTGCCTTAGGAGCCTTGAAAACTCCTAACATCAGATTGGCGCCGTTGCCAAATTCCGAGTAGATTTAAACATTGAGATTTAGTCACTTGCTTGAGACTAAGTCATTTTTATTTTATCTTGTTACTGATTCTACATCTTCATCTCTCTTTGGATTTTAGGTGTATGAACTTGAGGAGCAAAGGCACAACAAACCTTGTTCCAGAAATTGCAGATATCATAGCGTTTGAAAGAGAGATAGTAAGATAGAGAAAAAAAGCAGAGAAACATACTCACTTACAGAGGTTGGACACTGATATAGAAGACCCACCACCCCGTCAGTACACCCACCACGCCCAGCTCGACCCATTGGTGCCTACGACCAGCTAAACCTTCATGGCAATAGGTTGGCAATCCGAGCACCGGCTGTGAAGGCCAACAACTTTGAGGTCAAACCAGGACTCCTCAACGTGATCGAGAATAACAAGTATCATGGCTTACCTGTTGAAGACCCATTTGATCACTTGGACAAGTTTGACAGTTACTGTGGGTTGTCCAAAACCAATGGTGTGTCTGAGGACGCCTTCAAGCTCAAGCTATTCCCTTTCTGTTTGGGGGATAAGGTACGTTAGTGGGAGAAGTCTCTATCCAGTGACTTCATCACCACCTGGGATGACTGCAAGAGAGCATTCTTGGAGAAATTCTTCTCCACTTCACGAACTGCTAAGCTGAGAAATGAGATCTCCAGTTTTCAATAGAAGAACTTGGGAGGATTCAGTGAAGCCTGGGAAAGATTTAAAACCTACCAAGTTCAATGACAAAACCATGGTTTCTCAAAGGAAAGCCTGCTAAGTACATACTACAAGGTGCTCTTCCAAAGTACAGAGCCAGATTGGATACTGCTAGCAATGGGTTCTTCTTGGGAATATCTGAGGAAGATGCAAAAGAGCTGGTTAACAGCATGGTGAAGAGTGATGCAGTCTACAGTGGAGACCACGACATAGGCAGTAGAGGTGATGACAAGCAGACAAGGAAGAAGCTAAAGGCTCTACAAGATAAGATAGACATACTCATTGCAGAAAAAGCTACTCAAGAGCAGCTGAACTTTGTTGGTAACACAAACCAAGAAGCACAACCTGTGGTCAATGAGGTTGATGGTCTAGAAGTCCAAGAAGAGTTGTGTTTCATCAACAACAATGGTAGTTGGTACAAGAAGGAACCCAACTTTTGGTACAACAACTACCCACAAGGAGGATACCAGCCAATGAACAACCAGCAAGGCAGCTACCAGCCTCAACAAAACCCACCTCATGGTTTCTCCAACAAAGGGAACCAATCTTCTCAACAACAAGCTAACCCTTCTACCTCTACTCCTCAGGAAACTAGCACTGATGCTCTTCTGAAACAGGTCTCAGACTAGAAGTGAAAAGCATGTTGGTTATGAGCTGAATAACCTTCATGCCAAGATTGATGTGAGTTACAATGACCTCAACAACAAGTTTCAGACTTTGGAGAACCATTTTTCTTCTATAACTTCCACCTCTAAGCACCCAGGGAAGACCATTGCAATGTTATAATCTCTGATGCTATCTCTGAGACTGAATTGAATTATCATGGGAAAGAGGGAGATGAGATTGAAAAACTCTTCTATGAATCTGAACTTGTTCAGGATAAGAGACAGATTGTAGCCAAGGCT